ATCCCTCATAGGCAAAGGCTCTCTCCTCTTTGGCCCCATGGAGCCAGAAGTTCAGGGTTTTGTATTTATTTTTTTCTGCACTTTCTCTCTGGCCTAGAATTCCCTCTGATAGATCCCTTTCCTCCTCCATCCTGACTTGCTTGCCCACACATGGTTATGCATTGAAGTTTAACAACTGGTTAGTTTTCCTTGATGCATCTAGGTATTCTTGATACTTGGGTCTCAAGCCATATCTTCCCAAGTAGTGGCCACGCATTTGAGGCCACCATGAGTGTCTTATTCTTGGAGTTCACTTTCATAGTTCTGTTCTCTTCACTACTCAGAAGACTGACTGCCCTTTCCAGGGTAATAACTGAGAGCTGCCTTTGTCCCTCCTCTTAAGCATTTCTCCTGTCTCTGGTGCCTGGGTGCCAATAAACCGCATCTGGTACCAGGAAGGGATGACTCTCCTATTCTGCCTGCTTCCTTGGGTGGAAACTGCACAGAGGATGTCTTCCTCAATTAGCTTATTGTTTTTATGTTTCCAAGATCTGTAGACAACTAGCTAATGCCCATCTCATGGAGAGGAGGAATCCTGAGCCAGATATGATCCAATCCTATGACTTGATCTGTATCCCACAGGGCATGGCCTTTCTGCATAACAGCATTATTGCATCCCATGGGAGTCTCAAGTCCTCCAACTGTGTGGTGGATAGTCGTTTTGTGCTCAAAATCACAGACTATGGCCTGGCCAGCTTCCGATCAACTGCTGAACCTGATGACAGCCACGCCCTCTATGCCAGTGAGGCCTTCCCCCACAGCCCACTTTTATATTGCTCCTCTGGCCCTGATCCTTTCCACATAGGGAGGGTGGGAGAGGAAGATGGAGTGACAGTAATATGGGGAGCATTATGGGAATGAGCCCAGGTGGGCTTGGAAATACCTTTGAGGAGTTGGCCAGCCTGTTCCCTCTTTTCAGAGAAGCTGTGGACTGCCCCAGAACTGCTCAGTGGGAACCCCTTGCCGACCACAGGCATGCAGAAGGCTGATGTCTATAGCTTTGGGATCATCTTACAGGAGATAGCACTCCGCAGTGGTCCTTTCTACTTGGAGAGCCTGGACCTCAGTCCCAAAGGTGAGAGTCAATCTGCTACCCACAGCCTTCTCTACCTGGGGGGCCCTGTTCTTCATCCAAAAACTTTATCACCCTCAGAGATTGTCCAGAAGGTCAGAAATGGTCAGCGGCCATATTTCCGGCCCAGCATTGACCGGACCCAACTGAATGAAGAGCTAGTTTTGCTGATGGAGCGATGTTGGGCCCAGGACCCAGCTGAGCGGCCAGACTTTGGACAGATTAAGGGCTTCATTCGCCGCTTTAACAAGTGAGAGAACATTGAGGGGCAGGGGCTCCCCAGGGATAGAAGCCTCATTAGGCTTAGTGGATGAGGTGGGGCTGTTTGGGGCCAACAGGGGTTGGGTAGGAAGTCCTGGGAGTCCTGAGAATCTTGGAGCAGGCCCCATGTTCTGGCCTCTCCCACCCCCACCAGGGAGGGTGGCACCAGCATACTGGACAACCTCCTGTTGCGCATGGAGCAGTATGCCAACAACCTGGAGAAGCTGGTGGAAGAACGCACACAGGCCTATCTGGAGGAGAAACGCAAGGCTGAAGCTCTACTCTACCAAATTCTACCCCAGTGAGCCTTTTGTCCTCCTTCCTGAATTTTCCTTTGATATTCTGCTCTGTTGGATTCTGCCTCATCAATCTCCTGAGAACTAACCTCCCAACTCATAGAACCCTGTTTTGTTATGTCTGGCCACAGTGAGCCTTTTTGGCTAGAGACTGTGTTTTCATTCTGTCTCTAAATGAGCTGTGCTACCTTCTTCCTAAAACACTGCTCCACCATGCCTTTGCTCCAGCAAGTGTAGGCAGAACAATCCCAACTTGAGATATTTACCCCATCCCACAGAGCCCCTTCCAACCTCCCATCCCTGGTACACCTTACCTTGTGCTAGACTGTAATGTCTCCCTAGCTGCCTTCCTTCTCCTCCACCTGGCTCAGCTTTTATGTTAGAATAGACTGTAATGTCTCCCTAGCTGCCTTCCTTCTCCTCCACCTGGCTCAGCTTTTATGTTAGAACTCGTTTCTGCTCCTGCATACACTCTTTTCCTCTCTCCCCCTCCCATCCGCTTTCTGAGCTTGGCTCAAATTGCACCCTTGCTTTCTAGTTCAGTGGCAGAGCAGTTAAAACGGGGAGAGACTGTACAGGCTGAGGCCTTTGACAGTGTTACCATCTACTTCAGTGACATCGTTGGCTTCACAGCTTTGTCAGCAGAGAGCACCCCCATGCAGGTGAGAGCCAGGGGTGAGATTAGGGGCCGGGGTGAGGACCTGGGGGAGCTTAACAGGGGCATAGGAACCCTTGGTAATAGAAAAGATTGGTTTGTTTTGGAGTTCCCAAATCTTGTTATGGCTCTTGGGTTAAGAATTCTTAGACAGTTGGACACAAGTCTCAGGCCTCAATTTTCCCATCCATCAGGTGGTGACACTTCTTAATGACCTGTATACCTGCTTTGATGCCATAATTGACAACTTTGACGTCTACAAGGTGAGAGCTGGGGCTACCCTCCTACTGAGACCCTTTTAAAACCCAGTCTCCTTGAACTCCACATATCTTACACGCTCTGTGGTCAATTTTCCCTCCTGGATCGCCAGCATCCTAGTGCTGGAGTCCTATTTGTAAACAAATGAGGCTCTGGAACTCTATACATTCCAGTCTAATTTCTTGTGAATCCTTAGGCTTCCCTAATCAGAACCATCACAAAATTTAGCCCCTATCTGCTACATTTTACCTGGGGGTATAAGTACAGCCTATCCATCTTTTCTCTCCTCTCCATCCCCTCCAGACATGGAAGAATCATACAAGATGTGGGTACAGAATGATGTATTGGGGTTAGAGACAAGCTATGTTGTAAAAGCTTTTTGTTGAAGTTATTGGGTGGGCTTTGTTGTGCTTGGGAGTAAAAATTATTTGGATTTAAATACTGGCTTTGTGGCTGTGTGGCCTTGAGCAAATAACAGAAACCCCCTGAGCCTCAGATGTTTTATCTGTCATATGGGAATAATAGATTTACTGTGGAAAGTGCCTAATTGTGCAGATAATAACTATCCATTCCTGTCCTTTCCCTTTGGACTTAGTCTACCATCTGTTACTACTGTGACAAAGACCTCCCATAAACCCTTCACACAGATTTTCACCAATTGCTTATATTTTTCCTATTTATTTATTTTTTAAACCTACATTATTTTTTGAACCATTTGAGAGTAAGTTTCAGACATAGTGCCCCTTGATCCCTGAACAGTTCAGTGCCTAGTTTCTAAAAACAAGGACTTTCTCTTATATAGCTTCAGTATAATTAACAAAGCCCAGTGCCTGCTTTCTTACCTTGACGGTTTAGGTTGTCTGAGGCCCATTTCACTGGGCCTGCTTGACCTCCTCACCAGCTTCTGTGTTCCTCAGGTCAGCCCTGTTTTCTTGCTTCCCATTCCTGACAGCAGCGCCTACCTGTCCATGTCCTGTTGCAGACAGGGTGTCCATTCATTCTGCAAAGCTTTACCAAGTAGTCTCCAGGTGTGGGGGTGGGGCAGGAGGATTTAAAGATTCCCTTGACTTCCTCTTCCCCCCAGAGTCTCAGGGCCATGGCACTGATTTTTCTAATCAGTGTTCTGGCCTCTCAGGCTTTCAGAATGATTCATAGTGGTATCCAGCTTATCTCCTGCTGCTCTTCCCCATCCCCACTGATACAGATAGAGGTGACCTTTTAATCCCCCTCTCAATCAGGTAGAGACGATAGGAGATGCCTACATGGTGGTATCTGGTCTCCCAGGCCGAAATGGTCAACGCCATGCCCCGGAAATTGCTCGTATGGCCCTAGCATTACTGGATGCAGTTTCTTCCTTCCGCATTCGCCACCGACCTCATGACCAGCTGAGGCTACGCATAGGGGTCCACACAGGTAAGGTTAATTCTCACTCCAGCCCTAGTATCCACTTTTCCCCGGCTCTCCCAACCTGTTTCTTCTCATAGGGCCCGTCTGTGCCGGGGTCGTTGGTCTGAAGATGCCCCGCTATTGTCTTTTTGGAGACACAGTGAACACTGCTTCCCGAATGGAGTCTAATGGTCAAGGTGAGACACTAGCCCTCAATCCCAGCTTCAGCCTTCATCTGTGTTGCCCTTTTCTTCTTTTCAGAGTTCCTCCAAATCTCTCAGTCTGATACCACAGTTCCTGATTGCCATCCTTGGACATATTTAGGTTTTAGTGCATGGGCTCTGGGAAGACTGAGAGCCTCCGGAGGGGTGGTGGTTGGTAAAGCTCTCTTAGACACCACCAATTCTTCTGTTGCCTTTTCTTTGATTCTTCTTTCCACCATCCTCCTATCCTATCCCAGCCCTGAAGATCCATGTCTCCTCTACCACCAAGGATGCCCTGGATGAGCTAGGATGCTTCCAGCTAGAGCTTCGGGGGGATGTGGAGATGAAGGTGATGGCAGGCCATGGGGAGGAGGTCATGGAAAGGGAGGATGAAAGTGATTATGGGGAAAGAGAGGGAGATAAAGGGAATAACAGAAGAATCTGAATTATCTCTACTCCCTCGCTCCCAGGGAAAAGGAAAGATGCGAACTTACTGGCTCCTAGGAGAGCGGAAGGGACCTGCTGGACTTCTCTAAACCCTGATTCTTGCCAAGTCAGACAATCTCCTGCTGCTGGTACCTGGGAAGGCAGTGACCACCATCTCTCCACACACCGGAAATGGACATTGTCATATGAAGTGGAAACCAATGTGCACAAAAACCCTACCTTATATGGAAGTTGTTGCCCTTTGCAGCTCAGCCTTGTACATAATACCTGCCCCTCTCTGGCCTGGTTCCCTTCTTCCCTACCTTCTGTAAATATCTGTATCTAAACCAGAATATTTTGGCCAAATATAAAACAACAAAAACATCATGATGTCACAGTCTGGGTTAAAGGTAACTCCAAGGAAAGTTTATGGGGTATGGACATAGAAACTCAGGGAATCACTGAATTAGCAGACTCAGGATGAGAGAGAACCCTTTATGTAAAGCCCCTTCACCAAGTACAAACAATTCACTTTCTCTCCACCTCTCCAATACAGACAGAAATAGATGCCATATTCCACATCCCACTTCAGTCCTCAACCCTTAGACAGTTCTACCCCTTCCACCACCCTGCCCTCCTCTCTGACAGCCAAGGGAAGAGATTTCTCCTAACTGGAGGGAATAATTCTCAGGGTCAGAGGGCAAAGGCTGCCCCAGGGACAAAGGCACTGGTGTTGAGAAGCTGCAGGTCTTCCGGAATGGTGTGTCCAGTGTCTTGATCTTACTGACACCCTGCAGGAGTGCCAGAATAAGGACAAATCCTACTCTCTGCCAAGCCAGAACAGAACAGCCTCTTCCCCGACTTCTTCACCCCACTCCCAGCTCCTAGTCACCCTCACACACCGGTAGCTGTGGCGCCCTCTGTATCCAGAAGGTTTCAGGCTGCTCCTTACGGTAGTCATGAGGCTGTGAGGAAGAGATACTGAATAACTCTTGGCCTGAAGCTCCCTCTCTCAACCTCTGGGCCTGCTGCTTTCCCACAGCTCGCCAGAGCCCAGCTGTACATGTTGGGTAGGATGGGTTCTTACCTTTGTCGGAGCAGGAGGCCCTGCCTGCACCAGCTCCTTTTGGTAGTCATGGTGTGTCACAGACTCGACCTCAAAGTGCTCCCTTGTGGATTCCTGCTCTGCCTGCACCTCTTTACTACAGTCCTGAGGGCGTCAAGGCCATTTTCCCCCTGATTTTGTCCCTCCCCTTCCCTCTTCCCCTTCCCCCAGACTCTCACCGGACCTGGTGGTGCAGGAGCATCTCCAGCATGGCTTCACGCTTCCCTGTGGGAGGGCAGGGAGTGGACAGAGTAGGGGAGTCTGGTTAAGAAGCAGGCCCATGAGAAATATTTTTGAAAAGGAAGGAAAATCATGGGGTTTTGCCCTTATACCCACTGGACTATCCATAGTCCCACTAGAAATTCCTTCCTCTTTTTTCTCTGACTAATGGACTCATTCTGGCCCACTCTCTCGTGCTGCACACCTCTAATTGGCTGATAGTGCTTTCCTGGTGGCTGGTATGAGTCTTTCTGGGTGGTGCTGCGGGGCATGGGTGAACATAGCTGCAGGGTTAGCAGTCCCTCATGTCCATGTCGGAAGAAGAAACCCTCAGAGCAATTCTGCATGCTTGGGACTTGATCCAGGTGGTTGGTGGCTCTCTGTGGGCCCCAAGTTGAGTGACCATGATATCTTTTCTGGTACCCACCCTCATCATAAACTACTGCCTCCCCTCAGGGAAAGGGACCAGGTCAAAACCTTAATACCTCTTCCTCCCAGTTGTAGAGGAGGCACTGGCCCCTTGGCAATGTTTCACTGAGAACTTTATGTTTCCCTTCAACCTCAGTGGGCTTCCATAGCCCTCGGGCACCAGGTTCTGAGACTTGCAAAAATTTCCAGGGTTGTTTCTGAGGCTCCCCATGGCGGTGATTGCAGGGGGCATAATTAGGGACCAGGTCTGCCCTGGGATTTCTAAAGCTTGGAAGAGTGGAGGGGCTGAGCTCAGGGTCATGGCCACGGCCTGGACTAGGGCCAGAGTCAGGACCAGTGCCTTGACCAGAGCCACCGCCAGGGCGAGAGCCACCACCAGAACCTAAACTGGAGCCAGGAACAGGGCCAGGGCTAGAACTAAGGTCATACGTAGTACAGGGATCCCGAGCAATATAAGAAACACAGTCAGGCTTAAAGCAAACTCTCCCATGGCCTATCCTGTGAGTAAAGCTGGGTCCAGTGCAGGGCTCCCCAAGAAGACTGTCAGAGGAGGGATCCGTGGAAAGGCTTGGCTCAGAGTAGGGCGCTCGAATCTTTGTAGATAAGATAGCTGTTTTGGCTGTGGAGACGGCTGCAGTGGCTGCAGCAGCTGCTGTAGCTGCTTTGGTTGCAGCTGCCAGGGCAGACCTAGGACTGCGGTCCGAAGAAGGAAACGGTTCGGAAGTTGTCCCTAGCCCTTTGGAGCTGGGCTGTTTGTATAAAGATCTGAAAGAAAGCGAATGCGTCAGACTTGTCAAAAGCCCAGCAGAAGAAATCCGCTAACCTTCCTTGTCCCCCTATGCCTGCAGCCAGAGCTGCGGCTCTCACCGCGACTGCGATCCCTCAGTAGAATCAGAGGTCTCCATCTTCAGATGCCAGCTACCGGGTTGCCATAGAGACAGCAAATAATTCCAGGAGACTGCGCAGAACTGGAGCTGGGCGGACGTGGAGAGTGGGGCGGAGGCAAGTTCCCTGAGGGGCGGAAGTATTAAACCTGGCGCAGTGTGGCAAGTCGCTTTTCGTCCGGACTTCATTCGGCCGCATCCCTAGCTTTTAAGGTTCCGGTAGTCTAAAGCCGCGCGCGACCTCTAAACCTAAGCCTGATTCTTTGAGACTTGCTAAAGTGGTTGTGTTGGAGACAGGCACAGGGCTGTGGTATCAGACAAAAGCCTACTTAGTGTGTTTATGTAGGTGCAACAGTAGCTTCTCCTCAGCTCATTCTCAAAAGTGGGAGGTTTTTCCAACATGATATGGATGAAAATGTATCAGACAAGAGCTTAAAGGCAAAATAGTGAGACATAGGGATTAGCAGCGTTTTTTGGTGTGATTACTTTGGCCCCAATAAAAGGCCCTCACACCGACCACCCTCCTCCCAGACCCTCTTATATTGTAACTTGGATTAGCAGCTGAATAAGGGCCGCCTCACTCCTGGGACTCAATCTCTTCTTATTCATCCAGGCTTCTTATTACTGCTACTTGTGTAGAAGCTTGACCCAGGTGGACCACTAGTCATGAGTACTCATAATCTTGAATTAGTTTTTATTTCTTATTTGTGGTATAAATCTTTACATATATTTAAGACAGAGATCCAAAATTGAGGGAAAGTGAGTTTATTAGCATCACGGGGTCCCTTTTCTCCCGCCCCATCCAAGCATCCAGATCTGGGGTCTTTGGTCAGTTGGTAGGTTCAACCTGGAGGCCACTGGAGCTGTCGGCCCCCAAGTACATGAATATGCAGGTGATACACAGATTGTGCTCCCAGCTTCCCATCATTGATCACTGAAATGGAGCTTGGGGTTAGTGGGTTGGGATCATGGGTAAGGTCAAAGAATGAAGATCATATTGTGAAGTAGGTATGAGAATTCATAGGTGAGGGGCTCAGGGGCCAGGTCACTCACCAAGTCGGTAGCCATCTCCCAGCCCCTCAGCCTTTGCTGTCTTCTTGGCCACAAGGAGAAGGTGTCCTAGAAGCTACAGGGAAAGGGGAGGGAGACAGGTTGGCTTTATTCACAGGGAACAAAACCTCCAGCTGAGTTCAGGGCTTCCCCAAGCTAAACCCTGGCCCTATTTTCCCCACCTGCTGATCTTCTTCTTCAGCCTGGCTAATCCGAGGAATGGGTTTCTTGGGAATGACCAGGAAGTGCACAGGAGCCTGAGGGGCCACATCGCGGAATACGAGACACTGGGAGCAGTGACAGGCAAGAGGCCACCATGTTACTTCAACAAACTGGAATGTATCTATGAATCTCCTAGGGGATGGGTCCTAAAGGCACCCCACCTGCTTGTCCTCGTATAGAATGTCAGCTGGGATGCTTCGATCCAAGATCCTGGAGAAGATCGTTGGGGCTGTTCCCCCAGGAGCTGCCCGCTGGGCCTTGGCCACTTCATTCCCACCATTTGCACCTGCAGCTCCTCGGACCTGAAGGTGGGTCAGACACACCCAAGGGAGGGAGTTGGCAATACCTCTCCCATGTACTCAATTGGGGCTAGCAGAGGCTGGGCTCCAATAGTCATTAACAGCACCTTTCTGAGAACCTATTAGTTGTACCCACCCAAAGGAAAAGTTCCTCAATTTCAGAGCATCAGCAGCAGACAGTGTTGGGCATGGTTAGATAACAGGAAGTATTACAATGCAGGATTCAGCAGTCCAATTGATTTCTGCTTCTAAAGTATCTGGGAAATCTAGCACTGTTCAGGGGAAGGGATCCAGAATGAGAATCTGGAAACTTAGGTCCCACTTCCTATTTAACCACTGATTTACCTTAGATAAATCCCTTCTCTTGGCTTCAAATATAAAATAAAGGGGGTGGTTTGCATCATCATCTCTTAATACCACTTGGAGCTCTTTCCATTTACTCTCACCTTGTTAATGTTTCCTCTTATTTCCATTACTTGTTTTCTGATTTTTAAGCCATGTTACCTGCTTTATTTGGGTTTTAATACAATTGCCCTGTTTGACACAAGGGCCTTTGGGTGTCACATTTGACCTTTTACTGTGAATTTTAACTCCAGTCCCTTGAATTAGTGAATGGAAGAGTTAAGTGAACTCAGCAGTCCCAGCCCCAGGGGATTGAGGGTAAGGAAATCCAAGTTTCCCAAGGGCCTAGAGAAGGCTGAAGTCAGTGCTATCACATTGTGGGACAAAGGGACGGGATGAATCTGACTCCTCCAGTCGCTCTGGCAAGTGGGGACGATGAGAGGTTAACACTAGTACTCTGTAGGCCAGGGGCCTGAAGCGGGGCGGAATACTGGCTCCTAGAAGAGCAAGATCACTTCCTGCAGGGGGCACTGAGGGCCCTGCTTGAAGCAGACGTTCGGTCAGCTGGGATTCCGGCAGGCTTAGAAGGCAGCAGCCTCCGCATGGACCCTGTCCCGACCCGACCTCGGCGCCAGGGCCGGTGCAGGGCGTCACTCATTGCCAGCTCGCTTCTCTCGCGGCGAGGCTTTCGAAGAGGCTGCCACGACCACCGGTCCCACCTCGCCGCACAGCCCTGGAGCTTGCGCCTCGGGTTCGATCCACGCGAGGCCGCAGGGCTGCACGCGCCTGGGGGAGCCGAGGAGGAACGCGGCTCCCGGCCCCGGAGGACGTCAGAGCCCGCAGAGCACCCTCTCGCCCCCACGGCCACTTCTCACCTGCACCCCCCGCGGCCCTGCGACCGCCACAACCCCGCGTGCCACGCGCAGCCCGGCAGCCAGCACCAAGGCCGCCGCCATCTTCCCCTCGGCTGCGGGAACCTGTCACCCGGGCCAGCGCTCAGGCTCTGTGGCCCGTCGGAGGTGGGGCTGCCAGGGAGCTAGAGAAAGGCAGCCATTGGCTCCGCCAGCCGCGGAGCGAGTCCTGCCATACCATTGGATCACACTCCTGGCCCTGCCCCATCGCCCAGAGGGTGGTTCAATTCACTCCATTGGGTCCGCCGCCGGAATCTTTTCATCCCGTTGGCTGCTTCTGCCAACTCGACGATTTTCCCCACTCCATTGGCTTCTTGTCAGCGTGAAAGTTCCTTTTCCTTTGGATCCCCTAACTAGTTTTGCTATGAGATACTTTCTCACTCCATTGGAAGGAAAAAGAGACCTAGAGATGGGATTTTCCTTCAATTGGCTCTGATACACACCATCGGCCGCATTTAGGTTGCAGCGCCCGAGTTGGTGGGGCTTTCCTATTATTGGCTCCTCCTATTCAGGTCTTGGCTCTTTTGCTGGGCTGGGAGGAAGAGGATAACTCTCCGTCACCTGCCGCGCACAGCCTCTAAAATTGTAGACCCTTTGCCCCATTGGCCAGGAGGAGGGCGGGGTCTTGATGGCACCCGGCGCTTATTGGCTCCAGGAACCACCAGTCCCGAGTCCAAAGCCTTTGGAGTCCCGGAAAAAAGAGGCGGGTGGAGGACACCGGGCAGACGGGGCTGAAGGTGAACTGGGACGGGGTCTTTTTTTTTTTTTAACTGGTGAGATAACTATTTTCCCCACGGGGGCTATTTCAGCCCCTTGAATATTTCAAAAATTTAAATTTACTCATCTAAGGGCAATTCCTCCTTAATTTATGTTCTCATTAACATATTCACTCCAAGATTAAAGATTTTGCAATTTAAGAATGGTTTTTGCATTTTTTTTCCATTGGGCAGGGGCGGAAAGGTCCTATCTTTGCCACACGATCAATAGGCAAACGTTCTTTCCTAATCAGAAAAGGTGTGTGAAACGGTTAGCTTTGTGCCTGGCATTATCAGTGGGTCAAGTAAGAAGGACAAGGGAAATGCGTTATGGCTAGGTCTGAACTACATTTCATTTTGCTGGAATACATATTTTTGACATAAGAAACGGGGGAAGGGGGAGGAGCGTCACACAATGCTAATATACTCACACCAGGTAAGTTTTAGTCTGACGTCTAACATATAGGACAAAAGTCACCACTGTCTCTTTAGTTATATTTTAGCACGGCCTAACACACATAGGTGCTCAATAATTATTTGTAAAATGAATTACATTTGGTGTTTCTTTTAATTTTCTTTCATTATATATAATACACATGTTGTATGTATTGTATATTATATTCTTTGTCTCCCATTTACAGTTTTCCATATTATATATAAATATAACTTTCCATAGTCTATATAAATATACTTTGTAATTGCTGCATAATGTTTCCTTGAATGAGTTCATCATAGTAACCATTCCTTTATTGCTGACTATTAACTGAATTAATTTTAGTGAATGGTTATTATGGCACTGATGGCATAAAACCAGTAATGAGGAACTCCTTACTTCTGGAGATAGTAATGATCACTTTCGTATAGCCATATTATTTTTAGAAAGTCCTTTCTCCTCTAAAGGACAGACATTTGACCCTATGAGTCTCCCCAGGAGTTCTAACAGTCCAGGTTGCATTTCTTCCCTTGGAAAGATAGACAGCCTCCCCAAACATGAAGAAATGTAGATTGGCCTTTTCTGAGTGCCCTAGAGGCTGCAGTTCTCTGTGGTGCCTATTGACCCCAAGAAGGAATATACCTGCCAAAAAGGCCTCCTTGTGGTTAATTGAGCTCAAATTCAAAATCAAAGTCCACTGACAGGGGCCTCTTATACACTCTGCGTTTCAGGAAAAAGGCACAGACTGAATTGCCAGCATCCTGGACTATGTTCCCGGTGGCTGAGCCCACCCTTATAAAGGAGTTTCTGGAATCATCTTTCAACAAATGGGCTGAGGCCTTCCCCAATAGGAACTGCACAGCTATACCCCTATTTGCATATGTACTGATAAATCAGAGCAGCTCCATAACAACCAATCAGAATGAGTAATTCAGACCGATCAAGACAGTGCTTTTGGACCAATCAGACTATATAAATTTGCATAGAAATGAACCAATCAGGGACAGGGCAGGAAATTCCTCTATAAAAGTAGTCAGACTGCACTTTCGATGTTCACTGGAGGCTGTCTCCCCAGTTTGCAAACTGTTTACCTGAAAAAAGTTTCACCCTTTATGGACTCCAGATTGGGGACTCCTGTTGCCATTGGTTTGGTGCTAGTGACCTTTTGTTGACATACCTCTGGGACAGCATCTCCCTAGAGCTGCCCTAGAGAAGGGCAAGAGATAAAAGGAGCTGGGATCTTGGAAGATGAAGGAAACCTGCCAGGAGGGGTAGGCGAGCACAGAGCACTTTGAAACTGGTTATTTCTTTGGGTTCTCATAGAGAGCAGGTAGCACAGAGATTAGTCCTCTTTTGTAGACTCAGAAACAGGTCCAGAGAGGGGAAAGTGACTTGCATAGGATCACAGAGCCCATTAGTGTCAGAATCTCCTACTCCCCATAAGAATCATCTATGGGCTTCCTAGCCACTCCCCCACATTTACTAATTTTGGCCCCTGGGCCCCAGTCTTCTCTAATCCAACTCTTTGTGATTACTCGAAGGTGATCTCCTCTGAAAGCTGCAATACTCTGCAGCTTCTGATCACTGTCTCCCGTACTTCAGTTCTTACCACTACATCTGCCGTTAGAACTCATTCAAGACTTCTATTCCTTTCTTCCTTTTTGCAATCTGCCAATTGATTCCTGGTGTCATTTTCTTTCCCTGTTTGTATGGTCATCTCCCTCCACATCCTCAAGCCTTCTTTTGCCTTATTTTCCTGATCATTCTCCCTGACACTCTCTCGTCACCACCTATTAATCCAAATATTTTGCTTCTCTGCTTTTCTAACTAGGTTCCTGCTTCCAACTGTACCTGAATCCTCAACTACCCACTGATCATGTTTTTCTCCAATTCTCCACATTAGCCTTCCCAAACCTTCACTTCTCTTTCCCTGCCTCCTACTCCCCACACTCTTATCCCTCTCCTCCCCCTCCAACAACTGATCTTGTCTCCTACTTCACAGGGGAACTTCCATAAGATCCTTCTCCCTGCAGCTCAGTGAAGGCCCTATCCTTTCTTCCTTCCTTTTTCTTGGTCTTAGAAAGTGGTGTTTCTCCCATCCAGCGAATCCCTTCACCTCTGCCTTGACCTGATCCCCTCCCCCTCTCATCTCTTGTCTCACCAGGCAACTCTCTTCTGTATCTTTCAAGGTCTCTTTCTCTACTTGTCTCTTTCCCTTTTTCTCCTAAAAAAAATGATCCCTTGACTCCACATCTCCCTCTGGTTGTTGTCTGACTTCTCTCCTGCTCTTTTTATCCAAGCTTCCTAAAGAAACTCCTGCCTCCATTGCACCACTGAAATTATAGTCTCTGAAGTCCCCAAAGACCTAATTAGAAAATCCAATGGACACTTTTTAGTTTTTATCTTACTGGAGGCCACAGCTGCATTTAATATCACTGGTCACTCTCCTTCTTGAAACACCCCCCACCCCTTGACTTCCTTGAAGACACTCTCTTCTTCTAATTCCAGAACTAGCAGCTTAAATGTGAGTGTGGTGGAGGCAGATGGCTGGATCCAGCCTCTTTCACCCCCAGTAGGTGCTGACTCTAAAGTCTTAGGATTCTAGCCCTGGGCTGGGTTCTTGCTGCCCCATAAAGAGCCAGGTCAGATTCCAGTGGCTTCCCCTTTATTGCTGATCTGGGCCAGGCTCACAGAGGCCTGTGCGAGGTGTTGACAGTGTCTGTCCCTGGAGGAGGAAAGAGTAGAGGTGAAAGGGTCAGGTACGGGAGTCAGATGTAGGGGGAGGTTGGAGGCTGTGTGGGCCAGGGAGCCCAGGGGGACTAGGGTGGGAGCTGAGATGGGCAGAGGGCCCCTGCTTCTGTAGGGCCTCCAAGTCAGAGTTGATTATGATGGTTTCTCGGAGGGTAGCCATCTCTGCAAAAGGCACATAGTCCACTCCTGGGGGTGGAAACCAGTACAGGTATGGAATGCAGGGGTTAGGGGGTGAGGTATTCTTGGATGGGATGGTTGAGGATGGGAGTGCCTTCCTGCCTGGCCTTCTGACTACAGAGCCTGGAATGGTCCCCTGTTCCAGGTTGCCCCCTCACCGTGAGGCCTCCCTCCTCGTTGCCGGGTTGACTTAGTCTCAAAGAAAGTCTCGTGTTCCTCCCAGCGCCGGTCACAGGCCGCACAGAGGAAATTAGACTCAAAGCAGTTGCAGCAACAGCCTAGGGCAAGGGGAAAGCCAAGAAAATATAGGGAATTGGGGTTTTTCCATGGGCTAACTATATTCTCATCTCTTCCTCACCAACCACAAACCCAAGTATCTCCTACCTTCTCCCATCCTCGTTCCCAAACTATTTGCATCCTATCCCCATCCATGTTCATGTTTGTACTCCCCTTGTCCTAGAAGGTACCTTTCACCCTGCAGGGATGGGACTTGGTAGCTGCGTGGTCTTCATGGCTGTGTTTGCAGCGACATTGGGCCCTCCAGGCCTTGGGGTCAAAGGTGGCTCGTCTCTTGAGCCAGAATTCACCCACCTCCTCTGGGCGTGATGGGATAAAGCAGAACATGAGGCAGCGGCACTGGCTCACATTGCATGGCACGGATATGTCTATGGGAATGGGGATAGATGGTAGGATTAGACCAGCACCTGATAGAGTCTGAACTTCTCATGCCAACCCTGTCTCCCACACAAATATACACACACTTTCTCTCATACATCCCAACACATGACAGAGTAGTTATCCCTCCCCAGCAACAGGGGCTGGGAGGGATAACTCAACTCTCCCTACCTGAGATGATCTGGTGCTCTCTCAACAAGTGTCCACAAAAGCACTTAGACTCATCCCCAATCCGGAAACAGTCCCATAGATAGTGGGGGCAGCGCCAGCCAATGTAGAGACCTGGGTGTGGTGGGATTGAATAATAAGGACAATGGAGAAGGGGGAAAAATAGCTTAGGTTCCCCAAGGTGTTCTCACCTATCCCCTGGTGGGGGGAGGGGGCTCACCTCTCCCCCCAGGTGTATTCATGAGGACTCCACCCTCATCCCTACCCCTTTAGACTTTTTTCCTCTACGTTCTCTTTTTGCCCCATAAATGTTTCAGTTCCCTCCCCACCCTGTCTCTGTTAGCCTGTCAGAGATGACTGAAGACAGTTTTCAGTTTCTGAGCAGGAAGACTGTAAATGAAATTTTGTTTGAAGATGAACATGAATTTCAGTGAGTCCTCTGTGACTGTGGGGATTCTCATCTTCTTCCCTTCCAACTTAGAGCTCAACTTTGCTTGGTTTCCTTGAAGTGTCTAAGAAGGAAAGGGAAGGTGACCGGCCAGGTGTAGAGTAGATGATGGGGATTGGCTACTAATGATCATGGTTGTTGAAGGGACCTGAAGAGGAGGAGGAGGTTGGGCAGTGCTGGAGCCACTAGGAGGGCTTCCCTCACTTTTCCAGGTTGGCACCTTCATACTTCTCTTTTGTGTTCCTGGTGTTATTGAACTAATGACCTCTATGAACTTGAGAAGGGCTGCCTATGGCTCTCCAAGGGTCAGGAGAAAGGGGTAGAGCAGAAGTCATGAGTGGTGAAGATCAGAAAATGTAAACTTGGGAGGCTAAGAAAGGAGGCATGGAAAGGAAGGTGAGGATAAGAAGAAAACCTGAGCTCAGGCACTAGTAAGAGGCTACAACCCTTGAGAGCCTGGTGTCAGTAATGGGATCTGAAAATGTCTGGCTTCACCGTCAATCTCACCATAAGGCAAGAGTGGTGCTGTGTAAATGTGGGAGAACCAGAGAACATCTCCTACTCAGATTTTCTCATCCTCCATGAGAGCTGAGAGTCCCCCAACTTCTAGCCAAGAATCCTGTATGAGTCCCTGTGGAGTAGGACCTTCAGCTGTAGGACTCTTATTCCAATTTAAAGGCTGCAATGAAGTGTCACCTCTACCAAAAAGTGTCCCTGACTTCCCTTTGTTTAGGGATCCCTCCACTTCCCTTCCATGGTTCCTTATGCTACCTTTATGCATTATAATGAACTGTTCACTTGTATCCCTGTTTGTGAGTTCCTCCAAGGAAGGGTCTGTCTTTTCATCTACATCTCTAGTCCTAGCACAAGGCCTGGCTCAAAATAGGTGCTCAGAGAACACAAATGGCCTGACTGAATAAGTGAATGAGCAAATTCCTTCAGGAAGAAAGAGAAACTCTGTATTCCAGGCACAACCTTGAAGTTTCATAAGGAGGATGAAAAAGAGTTAGTGTCCTCTTTGGCTCTGGCCAGGGCCATAATCCACAATTCTGTGCCTACTTGTCAGACTAGGCTTTTGTGTCTTACCCATGGTTTCTCAGGGTCTAAAGCCTGTTCAGTTGTTGCTTTTGGCTTTGCTGCTTCTGTCCTGATGCTGACAGCCTGTAGTGTCAGGGCCCATTGCCCCAGGGACCTTTGGTTGTAAGAGCAGGGTATAGGCAGAGTCACAATGGGGGTGGGTGGGGGGCCAGGATTCTAATACAGGAATTCTGAATTCTGTCCATAGGATACACTGGAGCAGCAGGTGAGGTGTGAAGTGAATAGGGGTCAGCGTCCAGCGCTGAGGGCCTGGGAGAGTCAAGTCCAACTACTGATGTAGGAGTCAGTGCCCAGCTTTCAGAAGAAGACTGAAGCTTGAACAGGGAGACTGGCAACTATACCTCAGACTCTATTACAGGCATCAGTGTTCTTAAAGTGGGACAATTGACATCTGGTTGTGTATTCCAGAGAGGTGCTCTCTACATTCTCCCCTGATTCCAAACCCTCTTCCTGTTATGAGTGGACAAGTTCTGGTAGGGGGAGGGGACATTATCTGGGATGCCATTTTGGTTCTGTACAGCAAAGGAAATTCCATGATCAAATAATCACATTTACATAATAACATTTCTTTATGCTTAAAATGTCTCCATACAACAACAGCTATTTTTACATGAAGGATGTCTCTAGCCCAGACCATTCTCCTGAGCTCCGACCCATATACCCAGCTATCTACTAGACTCTTTCACTGCATGTTCCACAGGCACTTCAAATATATCCAATTATTCCTTCCAAATCTGGCCCTCATCCATTATCCTCTGTTCATCCAACACATACTTAGCAGGCATCTACTCTGTTTTAGGTATTCAGTTATTGGCACCAATTATCCAATGAGTTACTTACGCCAATAACCTAGATTTTATTCCAGGCATGGCCCTCTCTCTTATCCTACATGTCCAATAATCCAAAGGTCAGTTTCACCTTCTTACCATTTCCTGAATTTGCCTACTTCTTTCTACCTCCACCCATCCACTTCTTAACTTGGATTATTACCAGTGCCCCACGATGTAGTCTTCCAGTCTCCAGTTTTTCTCCAGTCTATCCTACTGCCAGAGTGATCTTTCAAAAACACATGTTATTGTACTATTTAAAGTATTTTAGTGGCTCTCAGCTACCCTCAGGATATAATCCCAGCTCTTGAGTTTGGCACAGAAATGCCTGTACGATTCTGCCCTTTCAGAGCTGAGCTGGGCTACTCTGCCCAACACTCCATGCAGCAGGCATACTGCATTACTTAGTTTCCTACCAGTGCCTTGCCCTCTCATGTCTCACCACACCCTACTTTTTACCTGGTACCTCTTCTGACTCATCTTACAGATTTCAGCTGAGAAGTTTTCTCTTCCAAGGCTTGTTCCCCAAGCTTCCACTATTGGGTGCCCCTTTTTTCATGGGCTGAGCTCAATTATAGTAATTATTAGAATGAATTGTAATTGTCCTTATACTTATTGGTGTCTCTCATTAGAGTGTAAATTATTTGAGGGATTTTGTCTTTGAAACCCCACCAGCACCACCACCTCCACAGGTAGCTCAATGCATGGCACATTGCTGGTGCTCAATAAATATTGAATAAATAAGAGAAAAGCTTACACTTGATATTTCTCTACAGAGCTCATATACTAACTCTCCAGGGGCAGAAGATCACCAGTATTAGAAGAGAACCCCAAATACCTTTGTTCAGGATTGAATGACACTTAAATTTCAGTATAAAAATGCCTGTTTAAACAGGAAAATGAAGAAGTCCAATCTCAAGAAGTGCAATGGCCCTGAAGAGTGGGGAGTAGACAGGAGGTTCTGAGAAGACCCAGAAAATATTAAATTATTAAATATTAAGACAGAAAATATTAAAATAAGCAAACAAAGATGTTTCATGACTGAAGGAAGACAGAGAAACAAATGAGATCACTATGACTTTCTTGTCCAGGGGTGGAGAATGGGACCGAGGAAAGTAAGTTACATGGAGGAGGGATAAAGACATAGAATTATCTGGTTGTCTTTACATCTAAGGCCCATCTACTTTTGACATAATTCTACTCCCATCATAAGGGGAAAGAAAGTATGAAAAACCAAATTGAATGAAGTGACATACATTGAATTTAGTCTAGAAATTCCAGAATCCTCATAGCAGGTCAGATGGTTTTCTTACTGAAGGTAATCCCTATAGATATGAAGTTCAGTAACACAGGTACATGTGCTCACACACAGGATGGCATGTGTTTACACAGTACATTTGCACACCCTTTATATACAGACACGATAAGCAGGGCATGCCACTAACAGGACTGTCAGGGGTACTAATTCTGGAATGAGACTTGGAAATGACAGGGCTAGAAGATACAACTCTCTTCTTTGGTGAAGACTCACAACTTTTGGGTACCCAGGTGATCCTGGGTCTCACATGTAGGGGTGACAGCCTTTTAATGGAGTTTCACCAAGGGGACCAAGGCATTTTGCCATGTAAGAGCAACAAGTCACCTGGAGACTGTCTAGGGTCCTGGGCTATCTCTGCCTTAGGGTCTGTTTGGTGCAGGCAATCTGAGCCCTAGATCTGGGGCTGGCCTGTGGCCCTTCTGGTTTTAACACCTTTAGTTAGGCAACCTGTCCCTACCTGGGCTTTATATGAATATCCCACTTTTTGTCTGCATCCATGCCATCCACCTGGGCCCATTTGCCAGCTCCCCTCCCAGATTCTAGGCAAGTGGCATTGCCTTTTCCACAAGGGGCAGCTATCCATTGAATAGGCAAGTTCCTAGAACCTGTTGGATTGGAGAACGGCCATGGGCCTGTCAGAGGCCTCTGAAAGGCTGCCTGGGCTCACCTGTCTGAATGGCATTCAGGGCGGCATTCTTCTCCCATTGGAAAAGATTATTCACATGAGCACCAAACTTCTCTCTGTGCATTGTCTTAGCGAATTCCACCAACTCTGCCTGCTTAGCAGGGACCACTGGGCGGTCTGTGTAACCTTGGAAGGGAAGGGCTGAGTAACCAAGGGGAAGTGAGGAGGCCCTAAAACTAAGAGAAGGGGCCAGGTCAAAGAGTAACCCAAGCCCCTCCTCCTGGGGCAGGTGAAAGACAGTGATGAGAATGAAGAAAAGGGCAGGAGTAATTACGGCTAATTCCTTTTTTCTCCTTCTTCTTTCCCAGGTGATGTCCAGGCTGAGCTGTGTGAGGGGTGCTTTCAGTGGCATCTACCGCCTCTTTGTCCTCTTCATCCTCCTCCCTTTCCTTTGCAGATGTGTCCATGTGGACCTGGGCTGAAGGGCCTGAAAGTGAGTGCTGTTGAAGGAGCTCAGATTCAGAGATCTGGTTGGATCGCCTTGTCCATGAGACCTGACTGGAGGAAGCCTCAGAGAAGAGGTCGTCCTTCAGAGCTTGAGAGGAAGACACAGAGACATGGCCTGGTGATGAGTTATGAGAAGTAAAGTGTTTCTCTGGGATCTCCAATGGGCTCTCAGGGATAGAGTGTTCTGAAGAGGCATTGGAGATGGAAAGCTCCAAAAGGGTTTCATAGGTGGGTGGCTCTAACGGGGTCTCAGGGATGGAAGGCTCCAAGGGGGCTTCAGAGGTGTGGGTCTCTAAAGGGACCTGGGAAGTGGAAGGCTCCAAAGGCGTTTCAGAGGTAAGAGGCTCTAAAGGGGTCTCAGA